AGCTTGTTCACCCATCTATCCGTCCCTATACCCATATTTGCTTTCATTAACAACTCAGTATTGTATTTACAAAGGGGTTCATATTTGTTGTTTGTACTGCACATGTAACTCTCTCTGTCTTTCTCATCCTCAATGCTGCCATATTGGTCACTTCCCTTTTCTTTGTTGAAGAGGGTCTGTGCAATCCTTCTGCCTAGTCCGCCATCTTGCCCCGCCTCCCCTTAATGGCCTCTTTTGATGAATAGAAGTTGAAGGCAAGGAAGAGAGGGGTTTATTGGTATTCAAACCAGGCACTGTACCTGGAAAATGATGGAATAAATGAAGAGAAAAAGGGAGAAAATAGAGATAGAAGACAGGCAAGATGGAGGGTGAGAAATGAGAAAAGAATGACAAGATAAGAGGAAAGAACACATTTGCTGGAAGGAAACAATGGTAGCTTATATTTACCAACTGCCTAAGTGGCACAAACAGTTAAGTGCTCAACTACTCACTGAAAGAATGGCAGTTCAAACCCACCCAGGCCTGGAGAGCTGCTTCTGAAAGGTCACAGTCTTGAAACCCCATATGGAGCAGTTCCACTCTGCACACGACGTCACCATGGGTTGGCATTGACTCATTGGCCACTAGCAACAGCAACAATACTATTGGAAAGGCATGGCTGTAAGTGTTCTACATGGCTTGCTTTCTTTTCTTTCTTTTTAAAATTTTATTGTGATTTGGGTGAAAGTTTACAGAGCAAATTCGTCTTCCATACAGCAGTTCATACTTTGTCTCATGACATTAACTGTAACTCCCACAATGCAACAACTCTCCTCCCACTTCCTCCCCATAGCCACCTCTTCCCTGTGTCCTTCCCTCCCATACACTCTCCCCACCCCCCCCCACTCCGGGCTATCTCCCTGTGCAGACACAGCCTTTCTATTCTCCCATGATTGCTCTCTACAAGGAGTGTATCCACCTAATGTAAATGTTCAGCTCATATGCCTTTTGTTTGGCTGGAAACCACCTGAGTGCATTCAATTCCAGACCTGAAGGGCAGCTAGGGGGTCAGAGTCTCAAGAATTTCACCAGGCTCTATCAGATCAGCAAACCTGGTCCCTCTTTTTCTATGATTTTGAGTTTTGTTCCACATCGTTCTCCCACTCCATCCAGGATCTCCTACATAGATACCCCTCCGAGTGGTTGACAGTGGTAGTCCACATGGCTTTCTTAATTTAGACTTCTCAAATGCCCAGGGAGACATGTGCTATTATTGTTTTCATTTCACAGATGAGGAAAACTTGTTGCAGAGGGGTTAGGTCGCTTTTACCTGGGCAGTCTAGCTCCAGAATCCTGGCTCTCCACTATACTGCTCCTCAATTAAGCACACCTCCCATGATGATGTATTAAGCAATATCTGGAGTACACACTATTACAGAGCAAATTCATCTTCCATACAGCAGTTCACACTTTGCCTCATGACATGGATTGTAATCTCCCACAATGCAACAACTCTCCTCCCACTTTCTCCTCATAGCCACCTTTTCCCTGTGTCCTTCCCTCCCATGCACTCCTGCCCCAGAGCTGTCTCCCTGTGCATACACAACCCTTCTATTCTCCCATGATTGCTCTCTACAATGAGTGTACACACTATTCAAGTGAAATTTTCACCACCTCACTTTGGAAACTGCAGAACTTATTCTTCCCTTCTCAATAACGGAATCTCCTCAGAGTGATCCCCATGATAAGCCTCAGGCACAACAAGCTTGGGAGTACAGGATCAAAACCTGCAGGGAGATTAAGTTATTGGGTTGGCTGTCTACCTTGTTAGTGAAAAGCATAGTACTGACAGCATAGATCTGACTCAAGAACAGTAGAAAATGGGTATTTTTGGGGAAATGACCCCATACTTCTGTGTATTTTGACTCCTAATTCACAAAGGCTAAATTCCAGGGCCCCTCTCACATGTCAGAGTTCCTGTGTGGTACAAATAGTTAATGCATTCAGCTGCTAACCAAAAGGTCGGTGGTTCAAGTCCAACCAGAGGTACTTTGAAAGAAAGCCTTGGAGATCTATTTCCGAAATAATCAGCCATTGAAACCACTGTGGAGCACAGTTCTACTCTGACACGCATGCGGTCACAGTGAGTCAGAATCAACTGATAGCAGCTGTTTTGTTTTTGCTGGTTTTTTTTTTTTTTTTTTCTGAAATCACATTTAGTCCTGCTCATTCCAAACATTCAGAATGTGAAAGAGTCGCAGCCCCCTAATGCTGTTCTTCTCGACAGCATCTGTAAATCTTAGAAGACTGAGTGTGCAGCTTGGAGTTAGGCCACACAGAAACCTCATCGCACTTGACATCAGCCAAGAGCTAGGTGAACCCTAGGGCCCCATTTCCCAAGAGTGCAGTTCATGTGGGAGCTCGGCCCAGATAAACAGCCCCTTTAGTCTGAACAAACGCAGCACATGGAGAGATTCTTGGGGGCTTAGATAAAAACGGAGAGGCATTCTCAGTTCTGGGGGGAAGGGACAAGGTTTTAATTGATTGGATGTGTGTACATAAGCAAGGTTACCAAGTTCAGGGCTGACATCACTCAGATATGAAATCTAAGCCAGTGATGAGCTGGTTGCTTCATAGCCCCGAGAACTGCCTTAATGTAAGTCAAGGGCACTAGCAGGTTTGGTTTGGATTTCATTAACTTTTTAACTATTTAAGGCAAAAAGCAGTGATCGTATCTAGCCCTATTTGGAGTCTTCTCTTTCAAGGATACAGGTATCCATTTCTGGGTCCAGACTCTTGTCCTATGCAGAGGGACAATCCAAAGCTACACTGGAAATGCATTCCACCCTGTTTCAGCTGTTTGTTTTGGAATGTTATCAATGGGGTGGGGCAGTAGGAGACTCTGATTGTGTGCTGAAGATGTCAGGCACACCCCCTTGGCCTTTCTTCCAGCCAAACAGCTCCAGTAGTGGGCAGGCCTTGAACCTGGAGACCCACAGACACACTTGAATGACTACAACGGAAATCAGTTAGGCAATCTCCTGCTAGGGGCCCAGAGATCAGCCTACTGGCTCTGGTGCTACCATCATGGCCAACAAGACCAACTCCTCTGCTCCTTACTATAGCTATGAATACTACCTGGACTACTTGGACCTCATTCCTGTGGATGAGAAGAAGCTGAAAGCCAACAAGCGTAAGTGCTGAACTGGGGGAGCTGGCCAGGCAGAGGCTGACAGTGGGGGCGAGCAAAGAACTGGGAACCTGGGGTTTTTCACCATTCACTTTGTTTGTTTATGAATGGGCTTTGTATATTGTTAAATGACTTTTCTAGATCTACTGAGATAGTTATAAACATGTGTGTGTGTGTGTGTGTGTATGTATGTATATATATGTGTGCATGTACATATGTATATTGTTGTTGTTAGGTGTTGTCAGGTTGATGCCAATTCACAGCAACCCCATGTGACAGAGTAGAACTGCCACACAGGGTTTCCTTGGTTGTAATCTTTATAGGAGCAGATCGCCAGGTCAGGACACCTCATGTGTAGCTACCACCCATCTGTCAGTGGAGGCTTGTGTGCTGTGATGCTGCTGAACAGGTTTCAGGGGAGCTTCCAGACAAAGCCAGACTAGTGAGAAAGGTCTGGCAATCAACTTTAGAAAAATCAGCTAATGAAAACCCTATGGAGCACAAATTTAACAATCCTGTTGTGCATGGAATTGCCATGAGTTGGGGCCCCCTTGATAGCAGCTAAAAACAACAACATGATCATATTGTATGTCTGTCAAAGAGTAAATGCAGTCACTAGAAGGACCTGGATCCTTTCTATGTTTTGGGAAGAAAATCTGTAATACACCTGCTCAAAACTGAAAAACATTTGCATGTTATTATTTATTCAAGCAAGCCTGAGCCCTGGCAGAACCCATGAGGACAGTCATCTAGAATTTCTTTCTAGGTAGTATTCCTGTTTCAAATTTCATTTACAACTTCCCAAAGTCAAATCAGTTACTCACCCATGTTTGCAGAGGACTTACTATGTAGCCACCACTGTACTACAGTTTTTCTGGGGACAATAGGTTCACTGTATGTTTCTTGATGCAAAGTTTATAATCATTAAATTAAAATTTTTGCAAACACAACTCATAATAAGAAAGATATATAATACGAAGTATGAATCTAGGAAAACTGGAAGTTGCCAAAAATGAAATGGAATGCATAAAGATCAATATCCTAAGCATTAGTGAGCTGAAATGAAATGGTATGGGCCATTTTGAGTCGGACAGCCATATGATCTACTATGCCTGGAATGACAAACTGAAGAGGAATGGTGTGGCGTTCATCATCACAAAGACTGTTTCAAGATCTGTCCTGAAGTACAATGCTGTCAGTGATAGCATAATATTCATACACCTACAAGGAAAACCAGTTAATACTACCATTATTCAAATCTATGCACCAACCACCAAACCCAAAGATGAGGAAATTGAAGATTTCTACCAACTTCTGCAGTCTGAAATTGACCAAACATGCAATCAAGATGTGTTGATTATCACCAGTGACTGGAATGCAAAAGTTGGAAACAAAGAAGAGTCACCAGTAGTTGGAAAATACAGCCTTTGTGATAGAAATAATGCTGGCAATTTCAGGATAGAATTTTGCAAGACCAACAACTTATTCATTGCAGATACCTTTTTTCAACAACATAAATGGTGGCTATACATGTGGACTTCACCTGATGGAATGCACAGGAATCAGATTGAGTACATCTGTGGCAAGAGGCGATGGAGAAGTTCAGTATCTTCAGCCAACACAAGGCCAGGAGCTGATTGTGGAACAAACCATCAACTGCTGTATGCAAGTTGAAGTTGAAGTTGAAGAAAATTAAAACAAGTCCATAAGAGCCAAAATATAACCTTCATCATAACCCTCCTGAATTGAGAGACCATCTAGAGAACAGATGTGCTGCATTGAACACCAATGACCAAAAACCAGAGGAATTGTGGGATGACATCAAGAACATCATCCATGAAGAAAGCAAGGGGTCATTAAAAAGACAAGAAAGGAAAAACAGACCAAAATGGATGTCAGAAGAGACTCTGAAACTTGCCCTTGAGCAGAGAATAGCTAAAGCAAATGGAAGAAATGACAAGATAAAAGAGCAGAACAGAAGATTTCAAAGGGCAACTTAAGAAGATAAAACCAATTATTATAATGAAAAGTGCAAAGATCTGGTGTTAGGAAACCAAAAGGAAAGAACATGCTTGGCATTTTTCAAGTAGAAAGAACTAGGAAAATATTTAGCCTTGAGTTGCAATACTGAACCTACGGCATATTTAACAACAACAACAACAATAGGCAAAATATTGAATGATTCAGGAAATATTAAAAGAAGATAGAAAGAATACACACAGTCACTTTACCAAAAAGAATTGATTGATGTTCATCCACTTCAGGAGGTGGCGTATGATCAAGAGCCAATGGTATTGAAGGAAGAAGTTAAGGTGAAGAACAAGGCTCCAGGAATTGATGGAATACCCATTGAGATGTTTCAACGGATGCCATGCTGGAGGCACTCACCAAAAGATTTGGAAGACAGCTACCTGGCCAACTGACTGGAAGAGATCCATATTTGTACCCATTCCAAAGAAAGGTGATCCCACAGAATGTGGAAATTATCAAACAATATCATGAATATCACACACAAGTAAAATCTTACTGAAGATAATTCAAAAACAATTGCAGCAGTGTGCTGACAGAGAGCTTCCAGAAATGCAAGCTGGATTCAGAAGAGGATGTGAAACAAGGACTATCATTGCTAATGTCGGATGGATCTTGGCTCAAAGCAAAGAATACTAGAAAGATGCTTACTTACGTTTTATTGACTATGTAAAAGCATTCAATTGTGTGGATTTTAACAAATTATGGATAACATTGAGAAGAATGGGAATTACAGAACACTTAATTGTACTCATGAGGAACCTGTACATAGATCAGATCAGGTTAGTCATACAAACAGAACAAGGGGATACTGCATGGTTTAAAGGCAGGAAGGGAGTACATCAAGGCTGTATCATATCACCATACTTATTCAATCTGTATGCTGAGCAAATAATCTGAGAAACTGGATTATATGAAAAAGACCATGGCACCAGGATTGGAGGGAGACTTATTAACAACTTGTGATATGCAGATGACACAAATTTCCTTGTTGAAAGTGAGGATGACTTGAAGCACTTACGATGAAGATTAAAGACTACAGTCTGAAGTATGGATTACACCTCAAAATAAAGAAAACAAAAACCCTCACAACCAGTCTAATAAACAAATTCAGATAAGAGGAAAAAAGATTGGTGAAAAAGTTGACTTGTCAAGGACTTCATATTACTTGGTTCTACAAGCAACATCAATGGAAGCAGCAGTCAGGACATGAGACGACATATTGCATTGGGCAAATCTGTTGCAAAAGACCTATTTCAGGTACTGAAGAGCAAAGATGTCTCCTTGAAAACTAAGGTGCACCTAACCCAAGACAATGGTATTTTGAATCGCCTCTTATGCATGTGAGAGCTGGACAGTGAATAAGGAAGACTGAAGAAGAGTTGCTGCTTTTGAGTTGTGGTGTTGGAGAAGAATACTAAGAGTACCATGGACTAACAGATCTGTCCTGGAAGAAGTGCAGCCGGAATGCTCCTTGGCAATGAATATGGCCAGAATTTGCTTCACTTACTTTGGTCATGTTGTCAGAAGGAACCATTACCTGGAGAAGGATATCATGCTTGGTAAAGTGGAGGGTCAATGACAAATGGGAAGGCCCTCAACAAGATGGATTAACACAGCAGCTGCAACAATGGTATGATGGTTATGTTTGTATGTCAAATTGGCTAGGCCTGGTTGAGTGGCTGGGCAGCTAGATATAGTATTCCCCATGGTGAGACTGATAATCAACTCCATGGTGGAATCTACTGGGAGCAGCTGAGCAGCTGCCTGAGGGAATGTGGTCTGTTTCCTATATATAAGGAGATGCTTTGAGAATGGGCTCTAGCCTGTGGCATGCTTGGACCCTGAATGTAGCCATGTCGTTGCTCAGCAGCCTGCCATGCTCTGCCAACCTTGGGACTTACAATGGACTTAAGCTAATGGCCTGCCATGTAGATTGGTAACATCGGGTCTGTGCCTTTTTCCTTGTCAACCTGGGAGCTTCTCAGCCTCAGCAGCCAACAGCTATCTGAGTGAAGAAATGCCTCTAGCTCCAGTGGGCCGGGAGCAGGAGGCAGAGCTGGACCCCAAAGTTGAGGGGCTTTCACCCAGCGCCTAGAGTCTGGCACTTTGAACTTGGACTTAAAGCCTCCAAATTGTAAGAATAAACTCCTGTTTGATAAGGCCATCCCATTTGTGGTATATTCTTGTCAGAGCAGTACTAGGTAACCAGAACAGGTGGGCTCAGGTATAGCAAGGACAGTGAGGCTGGCACAGGACCAAGCAGTGTTTTGTTCTGCTGTGCAAAGGGTCGCTATGAGTCGGAGAGGACTCGACGGCCCCTAACAACAATTATAATGGGTAGAAAATGGTGGGGTGAAATAAAAATTCCTCATATATTTTGTCTGGAGTTCCTGGTGGCAGAAATGGTTAAGCCCTCGACTACTTGTTGTTGTTGTTATGTGCCGTCGAGTCGGACCTGACTCACAGCGACCCCTCCTTGGGTTTCCGAGGCAGTATCACTATGGAAGTAGATTGCCTCATCTTCCTTCCGAGGAGTGGCTTGGTGGGTTTGAACCACCAGCCTCTGGTTAGCAGTCAAGTGCCTTAGACACTACACTACAAGAGCTTCCCCCTTGACTACTAGAGAAAGGTTATTTGTTCAAACCTACCCAGAGGTTCCTTGGAAGAAAAGCCTGGCAATCTGTTTCTGAAAGGTCACAGCCTTGAAAACCCGATGGAGTAAAGTTCTACTCTCCACAAATGGAGTCACCATGAATCAGAGCTGACTTGATGACAACTGAAAACAATGTATTTTGTCCAAAGTTCAGAACTTCAGGGTAAATATTGACCTGGATTAAATATAAGTTTGCATTCAGGAAAATCTTCTCCTTCTTTTTTTCTTTCAATTTTTATTGTGATTTGGGTGAAAGTTTACAGAGCAAATTTCGCTTTCCATACAGCAGCTCACATACACTTTGTCTCATGACATTGAC